CTTTGACTGTCCTGGAACTCACTCTGTAGACCAGGCTGGCCTTGAACTCACAGAGATCCATCTCCTTTTGTCTCCTGAGTGCTGGGACTAAAGGAATGCGCCACCAATCAAGTGCAGGCGTAGACAGGAGGGGTAGCTGCTGGTGTATGGGACATGGGAGATACATGGGTGTCATGAGGAGATGATTAAAACAAAGAAAGTATGAACAAGTCATATGGAAACTTACCCTCTCATAACCAAGATGTGAAAACATTTTTAAAAGAGAAACTATTTGTTTTCAATGAAACCCATCATATCAAATAAAAAGCAATCTAAAATTTTGAAAATAAAACTAATAAATGTGTTTTGGGAGTATTATGGTTTGAATAAGAATGGTCACAGCAGCCAGGCGGTGGTGGCGCATGCCTTGAATCCCAGCACAGGCGGATCTCTGTGAGTTCGAGGCCAGTCTGGTCTACAGAGAGAGTTCCAGGACAGTCAGAGCTACACAGAGGATCCCTGTCTCTAAAATACAACCAAACAACAACAAAAAATGGCTCCCACAGACTCAATGGACTTGAATGCTTGGTCCCAAGGGAGTGGCACTGTTAAGAAGTGTGGCCTTGTAGGAGTAGGTGTGGCTCTTTCAGGTGGTAAGGGTGGACTTTTAGGTTTCAGAAGCTCCAGCCAGGTCCAAGGACTCCCTCTCTTCTTTCTGCCTGCAGATCCAGATAGGAACTGTCAGCTCTCTCTACAGCACCATGTCTGCCTGCATGCCGCCGTGCTTCCCACCATACTTTACAACATGACAATAATGAACTAAACTCTGAACCTGTAAACCAGCCCCAATTAAATGTTTTCCTTTGTAAGAGTTGCTGTGGTCATGGTGTCTCTTCACAGCAATGAAAACCCTACCTAAGATGGGACCAGCAGCTCACGTACCCACAACAGCCTTGGCTTACAAAGTAGCTGAGTATGACCTTGAATTCCTAATCCTCAGCGCCTACCTCCCAAGCACTGAGAGTACAAACTGTACCCAGCCCTGTCACATATGTCAAAAGAGCAAATGTGATAGAAGGTGGTATTCTTGTTTTTCATGTGTATATCAGTGCACCACATGTGAGCCTGGTGCCCTCAGAGGCCAAGAGAGCATCAGCTCCCCTGGAGCTGCAGTTAAGAGTTACAGAGGGTTGTGTGCTACTATGTCAGTTACTAAGAACTGAACCCAGGTCCTCTGGAACAGCAGTCAATGCTCCTAACTGCTAAGCCAGCTATCCCACAACCCAGCCCCCATCAGAATTCTTAAATTCCAGTTTTATTATGGGGGTTTGTTTTTATTTTAACAGAATTAACTCAAAATACACAGACTACTCTTATCATCATTGCTGTCCCAAAGCTGGAATGGTGCTCTAAGGTACTAGCAGCAACATACCTCAAGATCTTGAAGTAGGAAAGCCTCTATTCCAAGTCTATGTTCTCACACCAGAGACTTCAGATCACAGCAACAACCCACTACTCCTCACTTCCATGTATATGTTGTCAAACATGTACTTGTCTCATCTGCCTCTGGTTTAATACAAAATTCCACTATTATATTTTCTTTCATTTCAATTAGTCCCCAATATTCAGTATGGATAACACCAGTAACGCAATTCAACTTGGGACAGTGACGTTCTACAGATGTATCTCAGCAGTTTACATCCTGTCTGGCAGGCGAGACCTAGGTTTACTCCCTGGTACCATAAATAAAATCGGGGAGGGTAGAATAACTTCTAGATAGGCAGGAAATCTCATCAATCCTAATCCCTGCCTTGTCTTGTCATTGCTTGATTACATTTATTGAGAGAGAGAATATGAGTGCATGCATGCATACATCTGTGGATGCTGCCATGGTGTGTATGCAGACATAACCCCAGAGGACAATTTTTGGGAATTGGTTCTTTACTTTCACCTGTGGGTTCTAAGAATTAAACTCAGGTCATCAAGTTTAGCAGTAAATGCCTTTAAAGTCCATTCCTGACTTTTCTATCACTAGCTGTATATACCTTTTTAAAAAATATTCTTTTAGATTTATTTTATTAATGCCTATCTGTATGTATGAGCACCATGTGCATGCTTAGTGTTGGTGGAATCAGAAGAAGACATGAACCCCCTACTACTGGAGTTACCTATGGCTGTAAGTTGCCATGTGGGTTGGGTAGGTTCTATGGAAGAGCAACAAGTGATCTTAATTACTGAGCCAACTCCCCAGCTCAACTGTAAATAATCTTAGAAAAAAATTATAAAAATATCAAGACATCAAGTATGGTAGCTTACAGCTTTAAAAAAACTGTATTATTTAGGAAGGCCCCTAAAGAGGCTATTATATTTCCTATTTAAGCAAAATAAACAAACAAAATATAAAAACTCACTAGGATTTAAAACATGAACTGGAAATATAACTCAGTAGAGTAGCATTTACCTAGCATATATACAACCTTAGATTTGATTGCTAATGCTGCAAAAATGAAAAAAAAAGTATTAAATGAGCCAAGCATGAAGGCACATGCCTTTTAATCCCAGTATTCAGGAGGTATAGGCAGGATTTCCTATAAATTCAAGGCCAGGCCAGTCTATATACAGGACAGCCAGAGTTATATAAAGAGACACCCTGTCTCAAAAACAAAAAAATAAATAAATGTAGAAGAACACGAATAAAGTAATCCCATACTAGATCAGAACTAAGCATAATAAGGGGTTCTTTACTTAGGGGGGACTCACAGATCACAGTCCTCTGCAGGAATGGGGAACAGGAACCAAATCCAGAAGCCAGGCGAGAAAGGAGAGGGCAGGTGCACAAGCAGGCACCTTTTTGGTACCCAAGGCCACGCCCAACCTGGTCCAGCCTCTCAAAGTCCATTGGCTGAATGAGGTTCCTCTGCACCTCCCCTTTTTGCCTAAATAAGAGTTTCAACCCCAATAGAACACTATATACAATAAGAACAGATATCAAGTATAAAAAATTAGAATTACAACCAGCATAAACAATATTAAGCAAGAAACGTATGTTAAATGTCTCAGTAATTTTTTTTTTAATCCAAAGGAGTCTAAGTCTTGTATTAGAAATGGCTTGGCTAAGTCAAAAGAGGAAGATGTACCTAACTACGACTATCTAGTCTTCAACTCCATGGAAGACCTGAGAAGGGAGATAATACTACCTGAGTAGGCCAGAAGTGCAATTAAGTAGCTTCCAAAATGTGCAGTAAATGACAGAGACAACTGGCTACCTGGGCAATCACCCAAAGTCTCACTTGCAACTTTGGAGCAACCAACTTTGCCTAAGGCCTAGAGTAACTGACAGACCATTTTCAGAGGCAGAAAAATCTTTAAAATCATCTTATCCTGCCTTAGCAAGGTTCAGTAGTCTTTTTTATTGTATCCTGCCATTGGCTAAAGGAGGTTCCCCAGCAAATAACACCATCTGATTTTTCTTGCTAAGTATTGACTACATAACTTTTTTGGTATTTATTGATACATTTTGAGACAAAGTGTCTACATAATAGCCTTGGCTGTCCTGTAACTCACTATATAGCCTACACAATGCTACATTCTTAAACTAGACTGCTAATCCAAAAATACAACAGAAACACAAAACAATCCCTATGGGGTTGTGTTCCTTTGGGGGGGGGGGGGACACAGAACATCTTTTAGCACCACTGTTCCTTTCTAAGAATGATCCCCAGAACCTGCATAAAAGCCTGACACAGCACATGCTTGTAATCCCAGTTCTAGGAAGACAGAGACAGGAAGACCTCTGGGGCTTGACAGCTAGCTAATCAAGTCAAATTAGCAAGCTCCAGCTCAACTCAAAAAGGACGGTAGAAATCAAGTGAGGAAGACACTCAACACTGAACTCTGGCCTACTTACGCACATGCAGACCCACAAACATGTACACATACACCAAAATAAACCCTAAAAATAATTTATTTTATTTTGTTTTTTTTTTTTCCAAGACAAGGTTTCTCTGTAGCTTTGGAGCCTGTCCTGAAACTCACTTTGTAGACCAGGCTTGCCTTGAACTCATGGAGATCCACCTGTCCCTGCCTCCCTAGAGCTAGGATTAAAGGCATGAGCAGCCACCACCACATAGCCTAAAAATAAATTTAAAACCAGTACGGCATGATGATACATGACTTTAATCCCAGCATTCAGGTAGCAGAAGCAGGTAGATATCTTCAAGTCTAAGGCCAGCCTGATCTATGTAGAGCTCCAGGGCAGCCAGGGCTACAGTTAGACCCTCTCTCCAAAAAATTCCAATAAAGAGGTCAAGGGCCCATTCCATCTCTAATTTTACATAAAACAAACTTACGCTCCTCTGAGGTCAGTATCTCTTAAAGGACCACAAATCCATGGTATTAAAGAAATGAGAACTAAATCATTATCACTACATTAGTAGGAACAATCATATAATACTAGAACAGATGTTCAATAAACTATTTATAGTCAATAGATACTACACACATATTTACTGAACTATATGACCAAACTCAGAACGATACACAAGTCATTCAATGTAAAGAGTAAATACACAAAAAGAGCAAAAAAATCACAAAACTGCTAATAAATTTAAATATTCAGTCTAAAAAAAGTATGTATCAAATGCTACCTCAGAGTAGTATGATTGTAATTTTTAACTTAATTTGATTTTATAATTTTATAATAATCCTTTATTAATGAAAATTAGCCATTTTTTCAAAAGAAACTAAAACATCCTTTAACATAAACTACAAAGAGCATGTCTCTCCAATCATAAATATGAGCTATGGGGCAAGAGAGATGGCCCAGCAGTTAAAAGTACTGGCTGTTCTTCCAGAGGACCCAAGTTCAATTCCTGGCACCCACATGGCAGCTCACAACTGTCTTTAACTCTGGTTCCAAGGAATCCAACACCCTCATACAGACATACATGTTGGCCAAACACTAATGCACATAAAAATAAATAATTCTTAAAGAGAAAGACAGAAATATGAGTTGTGCATACCAGGAGTTCATCCATGCTAGTCTGACACTTCTCGAGGTTTATCCGTTTGATGGCCACTCTCTCCTTTTTGGGAGCACAGTAAGCTGCTTGGACCACGGCAGTTGCTCCACTCCCTGAAAACAAACACACGAACAATAACCACACATGTAAAGCATGGCCTTTCAAATCCCAAACACATAAACAATAAATACACATTTAAGCATGACATTTCAGATCCTCACTTTAAACAGTGAAGACTAAGCCTATCTTACGCCACAGTGGACAACAGAAGAGGAGAAACGCCGTCGAGAGTTGGTGAATACAACCTTAAGAACCTCAGGGCCGGCAAGATGGCTCAGTGGGTAAAGGGTTCACCTGCCACCAAGCCTGACAGCCTGAGTTCAAACCCAAGGCCCACAAATGACTTCAAAAAGATGTCCTCTGACCTCCACACTCACACCACAGCATCTGTGCACACCACACACACATACTAGATAAATGAAAATGTATCTTAGAATTAAAAAAAAACACCCTCAGCTATTTCATGTCTGTAGCCAAAAAATAACTGAAAAAAAAATCAAAAATCGTTATGATTTAGTTCTAAAGTATGATAGTATAGGCCCATACTCTGTTCTCCAAATATAACTATATACCATAAAAACTGAAAAATAATCACCAACAGGCTTTGGAAGATATAAAAAGGAGGTAGAGCACCTAGAGACCTGGGGACCAGGAAAGCCTATGGTGAGCTCACAGCATTTCCCTTTTCTCGCCCTGTTGGGGATATTACTTTAAGGTGTGTTACTTTTGTTTATGCTGCATTTGTTAAACTCTGTGAAGCTGTGATACTTTGCCTGTATCAAATGCCTGAACAGCTAATAAAGATCTGAATGGCCAATAGCACAGCAGGAGAAAGGAAGGTGGGGCTAGCAGATGGAGAGAATATACTGAAGGAGAAAACTGGGAGAAGGGGTTCAGAAAAGTAGCCCAAGAAGGACATCAGGGGCCAGCCACCCAGCTACACAGCAATCCATGGAGTAAGAGTAAGATTTAAAGAAAAGAACAGGAAAAATCAGAGGCCAAAGGGTAGACAGGTCAATATAAGTTAAGAAAAGCAGGCAAGAAACAAGACAAGCTAAAGTCAGGCGTTTATAGAAAAGATTCTGTCGGATTCATTTGGGAGCTGGCTGGCGGGACCCCAAAAGAGTCCAAAGAGCATAACACCATAATACTACATCTCTCCCATATGTTTCAGGCAACACAACAGAGAGGTCTGCACTTTAGAGTCATCAAGATAGACAGATGCACGGACAAGTCAACAAACTAGAAAAGACTGCCCTCTGGCTAAAGATCTGTGAAAAGGGCAGCTCAGCACAGACAGACTTTGAAGGTCAAAATATTCCCCAGTCCTCACCCAGGACAGGACTGGCCCTAAGGACCCCGGCACCAGCATGACCATGGTCCTCTACACATTCCACAATGTCAGCAATTCAGCCCTGCCCACAACTATGGCAGTGTCAAGCCAACCAGCCTTTAGCAGTCCACAGGGCCAGCCAGGATAGGTCCTGCACAGGAGCTAGAGCGGTGCCAGAGCAATATTACAAGAGCCCTGAAAACTGAACTGCCAAGGGTATTACAACTCCCAAAAGTAAGATAAAGTTATACACCAAACCAAAGTAGAACAACTGCTTGTCAAAATATAAGAGTAAAATAGAATTAAGAGTCTGCCAACTTAATAACCCAAATGTCCAAGATGACATCAAAATGCATGACACTGGATGTGGTAGTACCCCACCCCTGTAAGCCCAGTCCCAAGTCACCTTTGACTACACAACAAGTTAGGGGTCAGCCTGAGAATGTCAAAAAGCTAACAAAAGATTTATATTGTCAATAAAGAAACTACTGGGGGGAGGGAGGAGTGCTGAGCCTGTAAAGACACTTGCTACCGAGCCTGACCTGAGTTCCAGCCACAGGACCCACATAAAGGAGGGAAGTGACTCCCAGAAACTGACCTCTACATAGGTTCAGCGTGGGTATACACATACACACATGCTCACACGCACGCACACACACACACATGTAACTTAGGAATATGTATAAGGGGCTGTGCTAGAGGCTGCTGAGCACTACTAGCTCCACCGACACAGCCTGTCCTCAGCCCCAGGTTCTTGCTTCTGTCAGTCTCGGTACTTGTCTGAAAGAGACGAACAGCAGTGGCTGTCACACTGTGGATTTATCTACAAAGGTTTGTTTGGCACACCAAAAACATCTTTTCTCTTGATGTGAAGAAAAAACAATAAAATGTGCACCCAGAAGTTTTTTTCAAGGACCAAATGAACTATACAAATAAGATATATACTGACTGAGAAAAGGCATTTGCTGGGAGCTCAGTGGTGTATAGATCATACAGACAAAATCTGTGAACTCAGAGACAAGATAAAGAGTTTATCCAAACAAAACACTCTGAGGACTAAGCCTTAGGAGCACCAGGGTCAACAGTGAGCGTCTGTACTCCATGCAGTACATGCTCCCACACCCCAAGATGTAAGTGTTCTATCTCAAAAAACTTAAAGACATATTACCCTATATGGCAAAATAATAATAATAAATTTTAGAGTTGGAGAGATGGCTCATGGTTAAAGCACTTGCATCTCTTGTATCTTCCAACATACACCTGGTAGTTGGTATACAGCCACCTCTAACTCCAGTTCCAAGGGATCGCCCTCTTCTGGCCTCCACAGGTACCAACCATGAATAGACATACATGTAGGAAAAACATCCACACATCAAATAAAAATACTTTTTTAGAAATACTTGTTAAATATTGCCAACCTAAAGATCTGAAGCTAAGCAAGGTGGCTCATAACTGTAACCCCAGCATTCAAGGAGCAGAAGCAAAAGGTTCAGAGTCTAAGGCCAGACTGGGCTGTAGCGTCAGTTACAGGTCTCACTACATGAGACCCAGTCCCAAAATATTAAAAAAAAAAAAAGGAAAGTACAAATCTTAGGATGGGTAGGTGATGTTGAATTATCCGGACGGGCTCGATGGTAACTAAAAGGATCCATGTCAGTCAAAGAGGGAGGCAGCAGTTCCTCGGGAAGGATAATGGAAGCCAAGGCCGGAAGTGCTGTAGCCATGAACTAAGAAATGAATACTGACACACACTACAGCATGGTAAACCTAAAAAAGGAATAGGCTAAGAGAGGGAAGTCAAGTATCTAAGACACATATTACCAGATTTCCTCTATGTAAAATGTTTGGAATACGCAAATCCAGAGGCAAAATAGTGGCTGCGAGGAGTTGAGAATGAGGAGTGGACGTGACTACTACATCATAAGGTAGGTTCACTCTTTCCCTGAGTGACAGTTACAAAGTATCCTACATGCAAAAAATTTAATCAAGCAGACATCCTAAAACGGTAACTTCTAGCCAAGTATAGTGGCACACACCTTTAATCCCAGAACACAGGAAGCAGAGGCAGAAAAATCTGTTAGGCCAGTTTGGTCTCAAGAGACCGTTCAGCACAGCCAGGACTACAAAGAGAAAGTGTCTCGAAAAACAGAATAAAACAAACAAGGAACACTATAACCGTTACCTCCTAATCCAAGAATTTTGAAAAGAGCATGGAGCAATGCTTCAAAAGCAGCCAAAACTCAGCCCCGACGCAGAAGTGAATGGGTAATCTAAAAAGCTTTTGTTGGTTGATGTCCCCTTCTGCCCTGCCCCTATTCCCAAAAAACAAGGTTCAGGGCATTATCAAGCCCTTTAAGGTTGTGGAAGTTGTCTCACTCACATTCTCTTCAGCCATCCAGTCTCCCTCCCTCTCCTCTCTGGCCCAGCACGGGCTTTCCTGACTGCACTATTCTTAAACCGCATCTAGGTGGAACCCTCCCTCCACCAAGACTTACAGTGTGCACCTGTAAGTCACTCCTCAGACCTCCAGATTACAAAGCCTACTGCACACTGCATTAAATGTCCATTTTTCATGGACCTAATGCAATTTAGCACCTTCATGCAAGTAAGGTGTCTTTCTATATATTAACCCGCACAATGTTCTCCTTTCAGTGCCTGACTCAAAATTCACCTATTTCCAAGAACTACTATTGAAAGGACTGAAATTTTTTTTATAAAGAAGAGAGCATTTTTTTTAAAGATTTATTCATTTATTATGTACAGAGTGTTCAGCCTCCATGCCTGCAGGCCAGAAGAGGGCACCAGATTTCATTATAGATGGTTGTGAGCCACCATGTGGTTGCTGGGACTTGAACTCAGGACCTCTGGAAGAGCAGTCCATGCTCTTAACCTCTGAGCCATCTCTCCAGCCCGAAAGGACTGAAATTTATACCACAATTCCACCAATGATAGAATAAATTTCCATTTCCCAACCATGTGCCTGACAGAGAAATACTCAATTAATGATTGCTATTACTCACTTATTTACTCATTATGCAATTTTCAGTTATTTAACTATTCAAACACATGTGTTTATCAAGTATTATGTGGTCTAGGGTGAGCTTATTAAGATTCAAAAGTACTTTCCCAAAACACAGAAGGACAAATTACCCCTACCAGCACTCCACCCTTCATACATTTTACCAAAATTGCATGGGATCCACACCCCCAACGTCTTAATCACTTGTATGACTGTACACTAAACGTTCTCTTGTACAGTAAGCCCCAGATGGAAAAACATTAAACACTACAGGGAAAGTGCTCATTAATTCTCTCCCTCCTTCTCTAGCCTCTCATCTTCCTCTCAAACATAAAAGCAATTTCAAGAAAATGTTGGCAAGTGAGGAGGAAAAATGGCTTATGTATTGCGCAGTAAGTGCACTTATCAACACAGTTCTTGGCAGACTGCTGGGCTCAAAACCCAAAAGTCTGCACTATTGTGAGGCAAAGGCACCTTATAACAAGCATTTACTTTCAGTAACTTCGACTTTAATAAGATTGCCAATCAACCTGTAAAATGGTTTGGGGAGATAGCTCCATCCATAAAGTGCTTGCCACACAAGCATGAGACCCTGAGACCAGAGACCCAGAACCCAGGTAAGCTTGGCATGGCAGCACATGCCTGTGGTCACAGTGCTGAGGAAACAGGAGGCAGGAGGGTCCCTTGGAACCCACCGGACC